AGATAGAGTTAGGTATCCGTTCAGAATCGGATATACAGGTTTCAAAGTTAAATATACTACCACCACAGACGGCTCATGAGATATACGAAATGTTTGCGCTGAAAAGAAATCCGTCTGCTAGCGCTACTACCGTAAAATGTTCAAATGCTTAGCTCGTAAATGCACTTTTTTCATCGTAAACGAATGGTTGGAAACTGTACTGTACTACTGTTAAATAAATATGAGAAGGCATGTGTAATATAAAATGATTTAAAGAAAAGAATATCATATTTCCTTAAGTCAAAACACTTTATCTGTAGGTCAGGATATCCCATCTAAGGTGCATATTATAATTACGAAAGTTAGGATATTTGCAAATAAATTTTCTCGTTATTTTTTTACGGATACGGATTACAACGGAATGACAACATTTATTCAAAAATACATTTTCATGAGGTGGGCCATTTTCGCCGAGACGGAGCTCCTCCTGTTTTGCATTGTGTAACCATTCAATATGGATGCCGAATATGAACTTTGAATTATGGTTTAAAGGGAATCGCATTACTTAACCGTTAAGGAATATAAAAAAAAACACTTTAAGCTTAACACTTGAATGGTTCAGACACCTTTTCTTTTCATAAAGACGTATTTTTGTGTTTTAAATAGTCTATATCGTAATTACAATTATTGTTTTAAATACCTAGATACTTTGTGTTAATTATAAAAATGGCCAAAGCAGGAAATGTTTGTCAATACTTTCAATGTGGTGTTTCAAAACGAGTGGAACCCAATCTAAAAATGTATGGATTTCAATAATAATAATATGTTGTTATTAACAACGCAGCCAAAAGTCAACTTAGGAAAATCCAGAGTATATGGAATCAAGCCTTACGTCTTATTACAGGTGCGTATCGGACGTCACCAATAAGTTCACTGAATGTGGCTGCGAATTGTGTTCCTTTTGAGCTCAGATGTATGGAGAACAATCTTAAATACGGAATAAAAATACTTAATAAAAATGACCACTACCTGCACTCGATCATATCGGAACCGGAAATGCTGGATAAGTATGAATGGGCTCAAACAAGAACCATACCTGCGATTTTAAATATACATAATCAATTAAGGATGGAAAATCTAATGCTAAATACATGGGCAGCAGGAACTGATACGTACGACTGGAAGATACTTCAACCGCCATTATTCTCATTCAGTGAAGTAAATGCAGACGAAGTCCGTAAACGTTTCATTGAAATTAAACAAAACAACGAAGGAAAACTAGTTATATATACCACGGGCCAAAATCTACCAACGTACAAAAGCGCCTCGGTACTCATAGGAGACGAAAAAACTACATGGAAACTCCCAAACGAAAGTTCATCTCTAACAACAAGCCTAGTTGCCATACTCAAAAGCCTAGATGCAATAACCAATAACACACACAGTGTTGTAATATGCACTACATCTGAAATGGCCCTAGTGAGTCTGAAGGAAACATTCAGTACCAATGCGTTAACTAAACAAATTCTACAAAAAAATTACACAAAAAATCGGTAATAATATAGATATACAAATAATCTACACCCCAAAAGCACTAATATCCGAAGAAATGGCGCTCTTAACAGGTCAGACCCAAAATGACATCGCAACCATAGAAAAATATCAACTTGATGTAAGGAAACACGTACGATGGAAAATAAAAACCAAATGGCAAGAGGAATGGGAAAGTACTCAGACACAATTGAGAAAGGTAATACCAGACGTGAGATTACTTCCTAAATTAAATCAATATAGTAGGAACAAACAAGTAAAATGGGTGCGAGTAGCCATTGGACACACCAGAGTAACCCACTCATACTTGTTGTTGAACAAAAGTAAGCCAAAATGCCCTCAATGTCGAGGAGAACTCTCGATACAGCACATAATTGAAGAATGTGAGACCCTACGTGAATATAGAGAGGAGTACCGCATCACGAATGACATAAAACATAACCTAGCAGAAGATACTTTTGGAAACCTATTAAAATACCTGGAAGCTATAGATATTCTGAAAGAGATGTAGTATGTACTGCTCACCCGCAAGAACATTCAATGACCTCAGCAGTCGAAATTTCTTGCAGCTCAGAGCTATAAAAAATAATAATAATAATGGGTTCTTCGTAATTGGGAAAAAAAAATAATATGTTTATTGCCTGTGATCAATATACATTGACATAGACATAGTCACTAACATTAACAAAAACACATTAAAAATTTTTCGTATCACAGTTGGTCAATATAAATCACAGCATATGCAAATCGCTCGTTTTATAAAAACAATTGTGCACTAAAAAACTTTTTAGTGCTTTTTTAAATGCCATGTCGCTTTTCAAATCTTTAATAGTAAATGGAAGGGAATTATATATTTTTATGCAATTGTACAATGGTCCTTTTTCGAATTTGGTCGTACGATGAACGGGAATAGTGAGGATATCAGAGTTTCTTGTCTTATAGTCATGATGAGCATTCAATTGGGTAAAGTATTTACGATTTTTATGGACAAACATGCTTCAAAATGTCATTTTCATGGCAATAAAAGTATTTTTATGTGAGGTTAGGGGCTTAATATTAAATATTAGTCGAACAAGTCTTTTTTGTAATGTAAATACTCTACTACACTCCCCAGCTGCACCCCATGCTATTACACCGTATGCTAGATGGGGGTATGCCAGAGCATAGTATATTGTGAGTAGAGCGTTTTGATCTAAACTCGATTTTAAGCACATAAAAAGTCTTGTTCATTTAAAAACCGCGGGAAGTTTGTTGCCAATAATGGATGCTATTGAATTATACAATGGGTTGTTAGACGACGAGAGGGGAAAAAAATTATTAATAACGTATGTTTGAAAACCTAGATTAACTGAAAACGCGAAACTTAGGTTACAAACTAAGTATGAATATTGTGACCAGCTAGTAAAGGATTTACAAGATCATTTTTTACCAAAAATATCTACGACAATTGACGATTTTGGGAAACAAATAGAGAATTTATTAACTAAATTAACAATCGCTCAAGCTGACGGTAACAATCATTTCCAATTTTACAGAAAGCAAATGAAAAAACACACGTTTGCCAATGGCCTAAAAAGACCCTGAGTTAAAAACTATTATAAAAGCTAGGGATTATTCTAATTTAGCAGACGCCATAAAGGGAGCTATGGATGAAGGATCAAATAATTTTAGATCAGAGGAAGTATATCGTGTAAGGTTTACTAATAATTTTAGATCTACTGGGCATAATGCGTATCAACACAATAATAATTATTTTAGGGATAATCAGTATAGAGGTGTTGGTAATAACCACAGGAATCAGAAGTATCAAGTTAGAGGCAATAGTATTCGAGGAAGAAATTTTGGTCATAGGGGCAGAAATAATTACAATAGACAAAATAATTTTAGCAATAAACAAGTACAGTACAAGAGGTCACGAGTATATACAGCTAAGAACGAAAATACGGAAATTATCCATTACGGAGTAGAAGTACTCGACGTACGAGAAAGAATCTTTGGCGGTAATTTTTAGCCGTGTTAAATTCAAAGACTATGTTGCCGACTCACATTTCATCTTACAAGTAGATTGTGACGCAATCAGATGGCTTTCAAACCACCAATCTCAGCTCTCAAAATTTGGGAAGATGGCCGTTAAAGAAGCTAGAAGCTTAAATAACGTCGCTGACGGTTTATCTCGCTTATTTGATAGCAACCAGGATTTAAACTGCAGCACGCACGACGAAAAATACCAACCTTATTCGTTCTTGAATTCATTGGTAGTAATTCCAGAATCATTTATTTCTATCGAAAAGCACCAACAATCCGACGAAAATTGCAAACTCATCCAAGACCGGCTACAAAGATAAAGTTCATATTGTTGACTGTAGCGTTGTTAGGAAATAGATGGAGTTTTTTTTCAAGCAATTTGTCATAAAAACTTGTGTTTTCAAGAACACCCCTGTCCGAATTTCTTCCATTGGCACCAACATCCACATATACAAATTCATAGTTTGCATTTACAAAACAATACTGAAATTCTCTCTCTCTCTCTCTCTCTCTCTCTCTCTCTCTCTCTCTCTCNAATCAAACTGCTAGGCTTAACTTTGCAAAATAACTTGTCATGGACAAAGCAAGTAAATCTGATCTGTAATCAAGTACACAATAAAATTTATTGCTTAAAAAGTGTATTCGCGTATCTTCCGTGTAGTGTTAAAAAAACTATAATTCAAACTGCAGTGTTCCCTAATTTTAATTACGGAATTGCCGCAATGGCAAACATAAATTACGTGCAAAACAACAAACTTCAAAGAGCTGAGAATTTGTGTGTTAAATATATTTTTAACCTGCGTATAGATGACAGAATCTACGATAAATACAAAATCCTGCACATGCTGAAGATCAGAGACTTACAAGAATTTAGGATACTAAATGTACTTTTTTCAATACTAAAAAACAAGACCCCAGAGTATCTAAACGATCAGATCAGTTCACCTTTTTTCAAAGTAGTACCCGTCAACAAAATAAAGTCCTAGTGCTCCCAACTCATAAAACAGAAGTGTATGCTCAGTCCTTCACGGTGAAAGCTATCAAGCTGTATAACAACCTACCGGAAATCGTTAAAACCACAACTACAGCTGCAGTGTTTAAAAAAAGACTCAAAGACTACTTATTAAACAAGAACGATTACTAGTGACCCTAAGTGTATGAGTTGTTATTGTTATTCACACTTCCCGCAAATCAAGTGTATTATTTTGGTAGGGCAATCCATTTCTTTTTCTCAGTTAATTTACCTAGTTAATAATTGTTCTTTATCATTTTTGAACTGTACAATCTATATAATGTAATTATTATTGTATGTTAAGCTCGTGAAGAAGTAAGAGAGGTCTTTTAAGACCTATTCTAAACGAGCTAGATAAATAAATTCAGTCAGTCAGTCAGTCTCTCTCTCTCTCTCTCTCTCTCTGGTTCTCACTCTCTCACTCTCTCTCTCTCACGTTAGCTTCCAGTATTAACAACCGGTAGGTAGTTTCAAAGACAACTTCTATGATTTCACTTTACACGGGATCAATACAAATCAAGTAAGTTTTACGTTATAAGCCCAAGTACAACAATATTCGGGGTATATTACAGGAAGGCTGGTTCCAGTCGAGCGCGAATTTACATTCGCAGCGTCTACCGAAATTTCACCACAGGGATAACCTAATTCTGAGCACGGCTATTATACAGCCGTATACTTTTACCACGGATGGTAACAGGAAGAGCGCGGTCATACGACCTGCACCTCTTTGTACTGGATAGACAGGTAACCCAAATTAACGGCACGGCTATACGGCCGTACACTTTTAATTCAGGAAGGGTTTCAGAGCGCGGTACTACAACCGGCACGTCTGAGGTAAATTATTCAACGGGGCGGGTGTCAGAGCGCGATTTACAATCGCTAACGTCTGACCAGGAAACAGGAAAGAATTTCTTAGGATCAGAAAAACAATTCTTAAGTGCGATTTACATTATATCACTTTTGATGTACATCCAAAGTGAATCACTCAGAGTGAAATCATCCAGGATGATCATCCTCGTTTACATATTTTCATCCAGTTTGCTGGTTTCACAGTGTCAGTGAAAAGTGAAAGGCTAGTGTAGGGGCGATGTCTCGTGCTCGTTCAAGAAGGAATCAAAAAAAATTACGCAGAGGCATTGCGTTAATTTCACATGGACTGCTACATGAAGTTAACGCAATGTTATCGACACGTAAACGTGCTCAAAGACGTTGGTGGGTGAAGCCATGGGTTTCAAGGAGAACAAAGCTTCGTCAACCCTGTTAAGAGAATGGGCAGAGGAAAATCCTGAGGTGTATAGAAATCACTTAAGAATGACCGAGGAGCAATTCGCATATCTTCTAGACAAAGTAACTCCGTTTATAAGCAAAAAAGATACTTGGTTCCGAGAAGCTTTAAGCCCTAAAATAAAACTACAAATGACACTACGATATCTAGCGACTGGAGATAATATAGGTACCTTAAGTGCACTGTACAGAATTCCAAGAAGCACATTTTCACGGTTTTTGCCTGAGGTATGCAAGGCTATATACAACGCTTTGGCAGATTTTATAATGGAAATTTAACATCTTGTAGTTTAATTAATTCATAGGTTAACAGAATAAAAAGTTTATAGTATAAAAAGTTTCAAATAGTTAAGTTATTTTGAAAATATTTTTTATTTCTATAAAATAACGTAATTTATTATAAAGGCATTAATTCATCACCAACTATTAATCCCGCTGAAGAAAGGGCATCGGACAAAACATCACTGGTATATTGAGTGCTTTCATAATCGTCATCTTTTTCGGTAGATTGGTAGTAATGGTTTTGTGACTGCCGTGAATGTGTGCTGCTTTGCCCTGATGACATCGCAGAGTACCGGCCTGAAGTTGGTATGGACTGTTGATAATCAGCAGGTGACATGGATGAGTGAGACTGAGGGTTTGATGTGAGTTGGAAGAGTCGTTCTTGCGTCATCACTTTCTGTAGATGTTCTTGACAGATAAGAGCCCTATTTAAAGGCATTTTTTTCAACTGTATAGCAAGGCTCTCACAAAACACGTCGAATTCGTTCAGATCCTCCTTATTTTCTTCCGATAGTGTCTTCAATTGTTTTATTGCGTCCTGAACCCCCGAAATAGTAGTATTGAGGGAACGTTTACGCCCCTTTGTGTTTTTTGGAGTATTCGTAATTACCGCCGAAGACGTTGCAATCGTATTTGGAGATGTTGCCTCAGTGTCCTGAATGTGTGCTGTTTGCTCAGTTTGCTGTTCAGTGTCCTGAATGTGTGCCATTTGCTCAGTTTGCTGTTCACGTTCTTCCAAATGTTGGCTATCATCGGTTGCTTTTCCAGAAATGCCCTTTCTCGTCGATTCTAACTCCTGAAACAAAGTACATGAAATTACATGAAATCAGTCATTCCAGAAAGCAATTGAAAGTTGATACAGATACAAAGCTCTAAAAATAGAATAATGTACACTGTCTAATAATTATTGCTTGATACAGGTCCCTAACACAGTTGAAAGCTGGGAAAATGTGATGCGAGACTACGAAACTTTGTGGAATTTCCCAAATGTGTGTGGGGCTATGGACGGTAAGCACGTTACCATCAGGTGTCCTCCAAACACTGGTTCACAGTATTTTAATTACAAGAAAGACTTCAGTACGATACTATTCGCAATTGTTGATGCCAATTATAATTTCATATACATCGATGTGGGAACCAATGGAAGAGTAAATGACGCTGCAGTATTTGCGAAATCAACTTTTAATGAGGCCTTGCAAAATAATTCACTGAATATACCGGAACAAGGAATTTTCGTCGCTGACGATGCCTTCCCATTGAGAACCAATATTTTAAAACCATATTCCAGATGTGGTCCGCTAACGGAAAAACAAAAAATATTCAATTACAGACTTTCAAGAGCTCGTCGCGTTGTGGAAAACACATTCGGCATACTTGTGTCGAAATTTAGAATCTTTGAGAAACCTATTCCACTATCCATACAAACAACGGAACAAGTGGTGAAGACTACATGCGCTCTTCACAACTGGTTGCGAAAGACTTCAACTCCCATACACCCATACATCCCGAGAGATATGCTGGATGTTGAAAACTGGGAAGAAGGAAGGGTTCAACCAGGTACCGCTACCCAACATCCACATAGTGGTCTTGAGGAAATATCCCACGGTGCATTAAATAACTACAGCAGGGCAGCAAGAGACGTACGAAATTATTATGCTGAACGTTTTGTTACAACAGACATTGTACCATGGCAATTGAAAATGATTTAGTAATCAACAAATTAAAAAAAAAATAAATAAATATCTTGTTTTTGGCTTTGAAATTGATATTTCATTTGGTTTGTGAATTATTATTAGCAAAAATTAATCATACATCATTTTGTGAAAAAGAAATAATTACGTAAGTATATGTATGTATTTGAGAGTACTCACCTTCAAGTTTGATGAACTTGCTTTTGGAGTGCATATGCTGCGGAGAAACACGTCTGCAAGTTTAAAACAGAATAGTCTGGGCTCATAAACGTCATCAGCACTAGCTCCACTTCTTTCTGAATTTTTTATCTTGCAAAGTTCTGCCCCGTAACGTGTTCTAATAGTTTTTATTTTTGCCTTGATGTCGGGTACAGTTAATCCAGGCAAATTTAAATCGGCCAGCATTGATAAGTACGCTTTTTCCCGTACGTTTGATTTGCTGTAATCACTGCATTTATTATTCCACAAGCACTCATACCGCTGATAACTTTCTAGAAATAGTTCCATGTGTTTATCTTGCCACCTGAATGACATTGCCACGACAATAGGTATGCACAAAACTCCTACAATAATTTAAATCAAATAAAACTACCTACTTAAAACTACGCGAATACCAAAACCCAAAACAATCAACTAGTGTTTGTGAAGTGAACGTGCGTCGGCAGTTTACATTTGTCACTGGGCATTCACTCTCGATGAATCATCGCTTCGATGAACGACTCTTTCATCAAAAGTTGGTCGGGGGTCGATATCTTTCATCCTTCATCTTTAGTGTACACTTTGGATGAAATCACAATGAAAGGCAATTTATACTTGTCACTTTGGATGATTCCTCCAAGATGATCATCAAAAGTGACAAATGTAATTGGGCCTTAAGACGAGTCCCCTTTCTGGTCTGGTTTCTGTTTATATAGTCTGTGGAAGAAGTGGAATGTAATGGTGATGTAATCGTACTGGTGGGAATGTCCACAACATGACGTCTTTGAAACTACCGCCCTCTCCTGATAGAAATCTAGATTAATTTCCAATTCCTACAGGAGTCAAATTACAAATTAATCTTATAACATTTCACATCATTACATACCACCCCTTCCTGGGACTAGACCGGTTTGGCTAGACCTAGTGCCACCGCATCCTGTCGTTTCAGGTATAATCTTTGACCCGGTGCAACGAGGATGGCTGCCCTTCGGTTGTTTCTTCTGTTTTTCCGCTTCATTCTTCTACTTAGTATCTTCGTGTCTCCCAATGTTTCTCCACTTCCACTCACCTTCCCCATCGACCTTGGTTTACCCCTGCTTTCTAGTATTTGATTTGCGGGTTGTTCCGGAAGTGGTTGTATCCCCAAAGTTTCCATTTTGGTCCCCTCATCGCCGCTTGGAATTTTCCCCCATTCCATTGGTGCTTCCCAAATTTCTTGTAATTCTTTGTCCGGAGTGGGCAGTGTTGGCCAATCTACCATTGGGGATGGAGTGGAACCCTGGCTGCTTTGATATATCTGGCTTACTATTTCTGGTGTCTTCTTTTCACCGCCTCCTTCCTTTGCCTTATACGGGCTGTAAGGGCTCCCAAATAGCCTTATAAATGTATTTATGTCTTACTAACCTATAATAGCACATTTTATATCTGTGATACGCGGGCATAAAGTACCACTTTATGCCCTAGGGCATTAAGTATCACCATAGTAACTCATTTATACTTAATGACAAAACAAACAAATATTTGCAAGTAATTGAAAATTAGAAACGTCAATTATTAATTGTCAATACCTACTAAATCACAAGATTGGCCTTATTTCGTATAGTTTCTGGAACTTCTTGCTCATTCACGATGAATTGAATTATTTAAAATTACGTTTGACGTTTGGATGGTTTTTGTTCTTAATTTTCGCACCAATGTCCTATGAAATAATGTGTCACGTTGCAACAACCACTCTTTAACCCAAAAACGTTTTCTGGTTTTCATTATTGATTCTTGTAATAAACGAATTACAAGAAGTGCTGCTAATAACTTTGGTTTTCTGGCACGGCTGACATTTTTAACTAAATTAGAGTTCACGACTGTGCATGTGTGGTCGATTTTGGGATTATCCGCAGTCGTCAATCGTGAATGGGTACTTTAAGGAAATATTCACCCAAGTGTAATCTAATGAACTACCACCGTTATACTGCAATCCAGTGATTCCCGAGAGATTTCAGAACGCGCAGGATTATCGAAGAATGATTCTTTTGAAGAGTCCACTGCCATGGAACAGCACCATTACCTATAAAGTAATTAGAAAACGCGTCTCTTATATTGCTTGCATTCCGGCTGTGTATATTGCTGCCAGTACTGCAAATAAATGTAGTTGTTTTAATAACATTACAAAAACCGTAAGGTGTTGGAAATAAATGGGCTTACCTGTGGCAAGCCGGTTTTGGTTTTGTTTCGTTATGTTTAGCCTTTTTTTATATTTTCCCAGGCAATTCCGGCCTTACTTTCATTGCCAAATATTGCAGATCATCAAGCACGTACTAGAAACTGATTTATTTCAGTAACATCCAAAATCTTCGATTTTTTAGGCAGATACCCTTGAGACTGCAGCTATAGAAAGGCACACAACAGTGGAAATGTCGCACTGTCACAATTCTGATATACATTCAAGCATGCTTTCATTATACTATATGATGTCCAAGGCGTTGAAGACTTCGTTTTACTCATTTCTTGAAAACAAGCAAGAAGGACATTTTCCATTACATTTAACACACCTTTTGCACGACACCACTCTGATAAGGTTGACATACCTCTAATATAATCGTATGAAGCTATCCTCTACAAGAAAAATTTACCTTACCTTCCAGAGAAGTTACACCTCGAAATAAAAATTCGGTAGAAACGAAATTGTTGTTAAACATGATTTCTTGGCAGTCGTCGTGTCGCGTCGCTTAGTAACTATACCTCCTGAACTACTCGATATCAAAAATCACATTATACATATATATATATATTGATAGCTGTTAAGTTGTTACCTCCGGTACGTTCAGCAGGCGACCTAACCTCCACAACTCCAGATTGTGTTATGACCCATCTTTTATCAAATTACTCTTTATAGACCCCCCTTAATAACAATCCTAAAGAGGGGTATCAATTTCTTTGATTAGAACATTATATATTTTTCTGTATCAAGTTATACCAACTTCCTTCCGTATATTCATGCAGTCTATGTACGTTTCCACCTCCGGCAATGTTGCCACGTTTATGGAGGGAGCAACCGGCACTATATATCAAAGGATATATTTTTATCGAGGGGTAAACCGCGATGGGAAATCAGTGTACACGTTTGAGGAAATCTATGGGAAATCATAGGAATTCCGGAGGAACTCCTAGGAAGCTAAGAATTCCAAGGAATTCCATGTGTATTCAGGAGGAATTCCAAGGAAATCACAGGAACTCCGAGGAAATCAAGGGAACTCTAAAGAAATCAAAGGAACTCGTGCTGCATTTTATTATTTAATTTGGTCTTAACTAATTTTTTTATTTGTTTATGGTATTTTTCTCATTTAATAATGAGTTTTTCTCATTGCAAATAGGTCTATTAAAATATAAAATAGTGTTTCGTCTAAGGTCGTGTCTTTATCCGTCCGTCCGTCCGTCCGCTAACTTTGCGACGCTACTAGTTCTTTATCTTAGGAGCTATTGTTCTACTTTTTTCGCTATTTGGTTCGTTATGGTGTCGAGTCTTGTACCAAGGAAGGAATTTTTTCTGTACCGCTTACAAAAAAAGTTATTGTAAAAAAAACAAAAAAACCGTTTTTTACATGTTCCATAATTTTACCCTTTTGCCGTTTATTAACGATCCTAGAGATCGTTTATAATTTTGCATTGCTATCTGTCGCCTGCCGATTGGTCTCTCCGTCTGTTCCTTTGTCTGTCTGTCCATCTATCTGTCCGTGTGAACGATAACTTTGTTTAGAAATGTTCGATCGCTTTTACATCTCCGTGAGTTATGAACTGAATTGCATGAAATTCAATATGGGCATAGATTTAGCCATATAATACGCAATGCCAAAAGTTAAATCGAATCGATTCAAAATTCACAGTGCCCTTTTCGCATCTCGACCATAAACCGAATTGCAAACTTTTTTACTTATAAAAGTATTTGAATGAAATTTGATACATAGGCACTTATAAAGGAAAATCAAACGCCAATTTCAAAATTTGGTTTTGCGCATGCGCAGTGCCAACTTTTTTATTTATGGAAGAATTTAAACGAAATTTGATACATAGGCACTTGGGATAAAGGAAAATCAAACGCCAATTTCAAAATTTGGTTTTGCGCATGCGCAGTGCCAACTTTTTTTATTTATGGAAGAATTTAAATGAAATGTGATACATAGGCACTTGGAATAAAGGAAAATCTAGCGCCAGTTTCAAAATTTTATTTTGCGCATGCGCAGTGCCAACTTTTTTATCTATGGAACTATTTAAGTGAAATTTGATACTTAGGCGCTTGGAACAAAGGAAAATCTAACATTAGTTTTAAAATTTAGGTTTGCGCATGCGCAGTTCCAACTTTCTTATTTAGAAAACATTGAAATGAAATTCTTCTCATAAACTGAAATTGAAGTAGCACGTCAACAATGGATTGCCCATGTGCAACGCTATCTTTCATATTTGTGGCCGGATTTTTACGATTTTAACAGAAGTTGCATCTTACAAATGGGAAATGAATGCAAGTGGAAATGCGCTTTATGTAAATCGTTTACGATTACTTTTTAACTTGACACTTGACACTTTTATATTTTTTTTATGGTTTTACCTCGGGTTTTACTTACCAGGAAATTGTTAAATCAACGGAATAACAATGAAATAATTAAAAAACTTTAAAAAATCAGAGGAACTCACAGGAACTCCAAAAGAAAATCGAGGGAACTCCAAGGAAATCAGAGGTATTTCGTGGAAGTTGGAGGAACTCGGAGGAAATCAGGGAAACTCCGAAGAAATCAAATGAACTCTGAAGAACTCGAAGGAACTCAGAGGAAATCTAATATTTATAGGAAATCAGTGTACAAAATTTGGGTTGCGGTTTACCCGATTTTTATTTATACATGTGATTTATCAAACAGATTTGAACAGTTTGGAAGTCTATCATTAGGTTTTGTAAGTGATGCTTTATTATGTACTTATAAAACTTTTGCTACAGTAGTCATCGTAAATGAAATCAAAGCCAATGTCATAAATATACACGACTTCAGCAGCAGGAAGCATTTCCATACGGTAAGTAACTATCGCTTTTTAGTTAAAGATATAAATAATTTTAACTTATTTCTCTTTTTCAGATAACACAATTGACGAATATGTTGGTTTAGACCTTACTTGCAATGGTTATTCTAAAAATACTCTCCAGTTTGCTGCAGCAGTCATTGCTAATTTTGACCAATATCGTGAAAATTATTTTCTACTTCAAGGAAGATGCATTTAGATAAGGTAAAGTTCTATCGCTTTCTTTGTAAATTATTAAATTAATTTTCTTTTTTTTCAGATAACAGTCAAGAAGGAATCCATTGGTAATATTGTGTGTATTGTGTTGTATTGTGCATATGGTATGGTTTATGTAAAAGTGTCAATGATTATGTAGTTAATTTAGTGATTACATTTGCTTGCATTGTGTACTTATTTTAGATTTTACATAATAAGACACACATCTCCTTGCTTATGCTAGAAAAAATAAATAGCTTTACTGACTGGATTTTATGTTTATTGCAGTGTTGTAACTGTGTCCAAGATAAGGATGTCTACCATGGGGTTCTCGGACACCATAGAAGACACAAAAATGGTCAAATTAAGGAAAAGTTACTCAATTAAAAAATTTACATGCTGTAAAGACCGCCAGAAAATTCTCCTTACTTCCGAAGATATGCCAGAAAACCGCAATCAGCCGATTTTTTATTGATGTTATTTGAACAGATTAAAAAACGCTTTTTCATTGCCACTATTAGAGTACAAGAAACCGTTGAGAGAGTTAAACAGAAGCAATGAGAACGTGTTTTTGTTTTTTTTATATCTGTTCAAATAATGTCAGCAAAAAATACAAAACGAAATCGGCAAATTTTGGTTTTTCTGGCATATCGTCGGAAGTAATCTGAATATTCTGGTTTCTTTACAGCACGATAACTCTTTAATTGTGCAACTTTTTTCTAATTTGGCCATAGTCGTATCATCTATGGTTTCGGAAATCGGAATCGGAACGTTTGGTAGGTGTAAAGCGTGTATGTTTTGGGACACATCTGATTATGTCTACCATGAAGAGCCCTACTCTAACTACTAAGATTGTTCGAGATAAATTAAAGTACACTAATACAGTCGAAAAGCGCAAAACACGTATTAAAAATATTGACATTGTATATTAGATTTAATTTTTAATTAGATATAATACGGAAAGTATATCGAAAGTTTAAATTTTCGAAAAACTGTTTTCGCACATTTTAAATTCAAAACGAGAACTTAAACAAAATATCCACATATTTCGTATAATCAACATTTCATAACCACCCTTATTGCCGTCGAATATGCGTTGTATTTAAAAATTCCCAGTTAAGCATTTCATTGCGATAACTTATTGCACGTGCAATAATAAGCTGCTTCAATAACTTAATTGTTCAGCAAATTATGTTTTATAAGATGAATAAAGTTTGCCTAATTATCTATAAGAACATAGTTAATTAGAAATACTTTCCGTTTTTTCGCGCCAATTTAAGTATTAACTTGCTCCTTCGATGCATGGTGCTCGGACAGCGTTAACATTCATAAAATTCAAAATTAAATAAGCACGTATTGCGATGCGATGCTGCCAAACGTGGGAGGCGATAACGTACGAACCATGTAAAAGAGATATTGTTAAATATAGGCGGAGGTAACCTCACCCTTCGCGCATCGTTTCCGTATATACGCAGTGATACACCAGCGCCGGTGTTATATATGTGAACTATTTCAAAAAATTGCATGCTTATAGGCTTCGATATTACCTCCAACATAAATTTCGTATTTGAGTTAGTACTGTCTTCTTATCATGGTTTCCGTTGAAAACATAGAGAAACGTTGTTACCTCCGAAATCGGAGGTAACAACGTTATATATGAGGGAAGAAAGTACGGTACGTATCTATTTTGGAGGTAACTTGGTACTCTCAATATGTATATATATATATATATATATATATATATATATATATATATATATATATATATATATACCATAAGTCTGGGGAGTATGGTGAATGGGCGGGGCAAGTTGACGTAATAATGCTAATAATACTCTTTATTTCCATCGACATGTTAATAGGATACGTCAAAAAGTATGAAACTCGATATCAAAAATTCATATATATATATAATATATACATATATATATATATGAATTTTTTGATATCGAGTTTCATACTTTTTGACGTATCCTATTACATGTCGATGGAAATAAAGAGTATTATTAGCATTATTACGTCAACTTGCCCCGCCCATTCACCATACTCCCCAGACTTATGGTGAGTTTTTACATCATATCATATTATCATTAGTTCACTATCGAAAATCATTAAAAACGCAAATAACAGATATCAAAGGTAATTCATATGACAATATTTACTTATTTTTAGATTTTCTAATTAAAGGTGACTTTAACTAAAAACATTTTAGTTCTGTCATCTGATAAGAGAAAAGAGGTTCAGAAAACTGGAAAATAGGTTAAGTAATTTATCTGAACCCATGATATCTTTACACGCTTCTTTGTTGAAACAATCGAAGTTTGTTTGGAATGGTCAATTTAGCCAAAGCTCACACTTGCTGAATATGGTGGAAATGAAAAAATGTCGAAAACTGTCCTTCCAAAAAACGATGCTTTCTCTGCCAATTACACGCAAAATACCGTCACCTGAAAACGTAATTACATTTTGAAATTTAATTAAAACATCACAAGTTTTAATTATTTGTACAATACCGTTTAATTAAAATTTTCTAAACGCTTGCAGTTATTAGAATAAGTACATGCATCTACATATTAACCTGCCCTGTATTGGTGTGCACATCCTCTGTTTGTATAGCGAAAGAATCTTGAGTACAAATGCAAATTTTCCGTTCGAGTTGTAATTATAAAATGGCAAATAACCTTCTATACAGAACGAGGTTAGAATTTTCCGTAAGAGTGCTCTCCAATTAATTACTTAAAATGCAATATAAGATTGTTGCATAGTGCAAGCACTATAAAACTTTATGATAATTATTTATACACAAAACATAATTCTTGTACTTAAAAACTCTAGTAAATGTGACCTTCGAGGTAATGTCCCAATACAGGATCATCGCCATCATGAATAGTCCACAAAATCGTTTTCAAAAGGTTTGTGTTGTGTTCGAGAAACTCATAGATAGCGACTAATGCTCGCCATTGCTACAGAAGAAAAGAACGCAAATATGGGAGAAATAGTGAATAGATTGGTGCAGCAACGTGGTAGAAACGAACACATTAGAAGAGATTGCCGATCAGAAGGGGCGACCATCGACCTGCCTAAGTTATGCATCTGAGACTGCCATCCAAGTCACGTCACCTAAGACTCGACCAAATAATTTATACATAGATGGCACTGTATTTGGATAATGAAGCCTGTGCTAAATGGATGAATCTATATCGTTCTCTTAAAATATCTCAACGGGACATTCCAGGTTTAGTAAGGACTGCTTTCATGGCAATTTGCAGGATAGAACTGGCAAAGTCTGGGTTTGCTTGCAGTGGGATTCATCCATTGAAGAAAAAGATATTTACAGATTTGGACTACCTTGCTGCAGTTCACTTCTCTGAGGAAAATGGAACCTCTATACTACCCACAGTTTTTATTAGTGAATCTCTTTCATTTAAAGAACCAGTGGCAGAAGACTTTTCCAGGTGGTTCCACAATGCAAGCTACACCTCAACCAACTCCAAATACTTCTGGCTACTGATGCGGTGGACCTGAAAACTCTCGTTCTTCTTTAGGCCTATTTGACTTTGACTACTGTGATGTTGTTTACGGGCCCTGCATCGATCTCGCTGACAATCTCTTTCATGTTTTCTAACCTAATATCTCTTGTATAAATATTATATATTACACCCTGTGGTTAACCTGTAATTTATTTAGTATTCTTCCACCTTCTGCTTCCAGTTGTTTAGGGTCTACATCTGGCTCCAGAGATTTAACACCATAGTGATTGTTAGGTCTCTGGGCCTTTGAAAATAATGTCCTACGGCATTTACTTGAACGGTAACCCATAGAGCTGCGTTTCTGTTTCAGTGTCATTTTCTTTTTTATATATCTTAAAATACATTCCTGGACTTTTGGCCACAATGTTGGTCCAAGTTGTTTCATGCCAACTTGCACCTTTATTTTACTGCAAATTGCTAGTTGGCTTCTGTTTTGGAACGATCCTTTCATGGTCAGATTTAATCTCTGACCAGCGTTATTTTTGGCCAAAAGGCTCATAAAAAGCTCAGCTCTGTTGTTGGTTTCATTTGCAATCAGGAGATGAGCTTTCTTAATTAATGTGTCTGTCGCACCTACAATGCATTAAAACTTTCAAACTTACTTTCTATGTTGACTATTTCAGATATACCTTCAATATGCTATGTTGGGAGTCTCGTCAGGTTGCGAACAGTAATATTCCATGCACTCTGTATGATGTCCAAAAACATGAAATAGGCCATTTACTAAATCGATTTTTAACCTTTCAATGGAACCACAATGACTGTTGTGGGCATATGTTTAGCTTGGTTTGTTAATTTCGTGATATTAGCAACAGTTAGATTTTTTTTGCTAGATGTAATTCTTTAGCGCATACGTTCCTTTGCTATTTATATGTGCATAAGTGCTAGAATCTCCATCCCCGATAAATGACTTGTACCTTACTTCGTGCATCTCTAAAGTACGATTAAAGCCTTCCACCAGAATATCAGCATCCATAGAGGATGAAAAGCCATTACCATTACGAAAGCAAACATGTTGAGCTGGATGTGTTTTCTGGTTGGATGTTCTGGCACATACAAAACAAAATTTATTTCTTACACCTAAAAATAAAGCTTTCTTCGTCGCTTTTCCAATTATAATTGCCTTAAAAATAACAATAAGTAAAAATTTTGTATAACACATAATATCACTTACTGCTCCGGATGCAGCATTGTAATTATGTCCATACGATCTCTTACTCCACCCACCGTCAACATACACTGTAATAAAGGGTACACCATCAGAGTCCACATTTCCACTACGTCTTACAATTTCTGCTTCCTCTGCACCGGCAGCCTTGAATTCATCGACCATCTTATCATGCCAACGCTATAGAGCATACTAGCGAAATGTCAAATATATTCAAGAGCCGGTGATTGGCATGTTAAGTACACACTTGCATATGAAGTAGAAGAAACTAGTATTATTGTTTATGTTACTTGATGACAATAGTGCAAGTAGTAGTGTGTGAAGTGGAGAAGAACAATCTGAGACTATATAAGGGCCACAAGAACAGCGGTTAGTGTTAATAAAAGTGTACAGTTTATTTATACCAGTTTAGTGTAGGTTAGAATAGAATTGACATTAAAAATCATGCCT